TTTTTTTTTTTTTTTTTTTTTAAGGGGGGAAAATCATCGAATGACTGCCCCCGCCTGGGTGAGGCGGGAGGGAGTGTCAGACTCTTACTGACTAAAAACCACCCCGTTCCTTCTCCTGCACGTCGAGCCGGAGCCCCGGTTACCCGTTAGGTTCTCCGCGACTCCGAATCGGCATCGGCCCTATTGGGCCCCATCTGTGGTGGTCTGATGGCTCTTTGAGGCGCGCGCGGAACGCGACGCGCCGTACGCTCGGGTCTGTTTCTGGTCGGACGGGGAGCCACCCATGCTCGCCGTCCGCAGGCCCGCGCTTACGGTGGCCGGAGATCGTCCCGCGATCCCCGACGCCCGGTGTGTCCTTCGCGATGGCTGGGTTGCGAGGAGGCAGCGCTTCGCTGCCTCACGCGTCCCGCCTCCTCCTTAGCTAGCATGACTGCTTCGCAAAAGGAGGAGACGGCATCCCAGTCCCCCTCGCTCCGCATCATGGCCCGCACTAGGCCCGGACGCGAGAGGTCGCCATCGCCATGGTAGGAAGCTTGGCTGCTCAGTAGCTCGGTCCGCAACTGCCTGTTTCGTTATTTTGTTCATGACTGATGTCATTTCTGAACAGAGTGACAGAGATTCTAGAACAGATGTTTGATGAACAGATGTTCCAGTTCAACAAGTTCGTTCCGACAACATTGGGGTGAACCAGGGTTGTTTTTGTAAAAAGGTATGCGATTCCATGTTATTTCATGATCTGACGTTAACAAGTTCCCATCGGTCTACCAATTGCAGGAGACTGTCCGCTCTGTTGTTAATATTTACGTCGTTGTTGTTTTTGGGAACCCTCCCAAAAACCCTTGTTAAAGTGCACACAATATTCAATCAAGTATACCATTAACTTTAAACTCAAACTTAGTATCAAAGCAACAAATTATATAATAGGAACGCACATCGGTTTCTATATTTGCACAGTAATCTCACAAGACAATTAGGTACAACAAACAAATAACTGCAATATTATTAACAATCGAACAGAACCTTCGTTCTTTGTTCGTGTAGTGGTACAAATCCACCTGAATTTCTGAGCAATAGTTATAGCATAGGGCATCGCGTCAGCAATTCCACGTATGCAATATACAGTCCAAGACTGTACCGAATTAACCAACAGTTTTGTTGGGAGCACAGCTCTTGAGTTTTATCCGAAGACACACTTTGATAGACATACAATTTCAATACAATTTATCAGGTCATCAACATCAAAATGAAATTTTCATTAACACTAGACAGAAATGCATGGTCCAAAATGGTACTCACGTGCATACAATTTATTGCTAAAGGTTACGTACCTGTTTAGCTAGTTTTCGAAATCGAAGCTTACGTTTAGGTCGACACTTCCATACGAAGAAGTGTTCAGGAACAACATGAATAATCGCAATTATTACCTGAATTCCATAACACTGCGTTACAAATGAAAAAAAAAATTGAGTACCCGCTTTGAAATGTCATGTTTTCTTATGAATACTTATAGTTTATTAAAAATCATACAAAATTTCCATCCATCACGTCTCATTTTTCTTCCATAAGAAAGTGCCAAATTTTACTAAAAATTTAAAATTTTCAAGGATCTAATGAAATGACTCTTAATAGCGGAGTCATAACATCACCCACAATCTGAGGATCGATAATATCGCAATATAGAAATAGTTGAGATGGTAACCCTAAGTGTAAATTAGCAGGACACTTCCCAAAATTTCTGTCTAAGAGATTTGTATTAGGTTCATAACCTAGTTGTAAACTTAATTTGGGTGATAATGTTATTGATGTTATATTTTTATCCAAAACAGAAACACACAAATTTTGTTATTTCATCATAACGAAATTTGTGTAACGAAAGTTCTCTCTGATACTATTTAACGTTTTTAAAATATGTTCAACGTTATTGTAGTTGGTAGCGGGAATATGTTTTTGTAGTACACTGTTGATGGTTTATCTTCATTAGGCATTAACATGGTTTTTGTGATGTATACAACATTTTCATGATCTTGAACAGTAAACATGGTGCATGGATATTGAAACTCGACAACTCCAACCGACCATTCACCTTCTAATTTCATAGCTTTTGGTAATTTTGTTAAAAAATTGTGGTCTTGTTATCAGGAAAGTATTCCATTGAACTATTGCTGAGCAAAGTTAAATAAAAACTTTATTCATATTTCTTTTAAACTAGAAGCTAAAATCCAACATCTGGATAACCTCTCCACTTCACTAATACTTCTTTTCTGTTACCCGAATAACGAGTGTCAATTATTTTATCTATTTTATATTGTGAGGTGGGGTTGTAAGTGACCTTCTGTAATTCTCTTTCATAAAAAGTACCAACTATTAGTTCATTAATTTGACTTGACCGTTATTCGAAGCTTATTTAATTGAGATAGGCCTTCTGCTTCCCTCCTTCCGCTTTTTCTATATGTCTATCTCTTTCTACTACGTCACCACTTGGCAGTGGTGGAGAGTCTTGCTAAAAGAGTTTCGCTATTTTTATTTCATTGGCTTGGCGTCTTGTTTCCCGCCGTGAACGGTTGTGCCTTGTGAGTCACAAGAAAACCATTCACAAGTTGTCAAACTACCTTCCGATTTTATTATTATTTCTTTTTTATAAAAGTGATAAATGTCCTAACGGCTTTTATTACAATTGTAAAAAATTTAAATTAAATAAAGCTTAGTCTTTCGTTATCTATTACACTACGTTACACGATTTTGGTACCCACGTAAGTGTTAGCTAATGATATGACTCATTGATTAAATGTTCCAAACATATGTGGTATCTATCACATCTAGTTTTCTAGGTACATGCCAATTGTTTTTCTACTACCCTCACTTTAGGCGAAACCGAAATAGTTACCATTTCTGATGTGTTGTACTTTTTATTGTTTTGTTTAGTAGTCATTTTTATTCCATAACGTCGATATATTCGTACATATTTCTTTGGAAATCCATTATGAATACAGGACTAAGTGGTCGTAGCAACTGCTTAAATGCACCAAATAAGTTTTGTTATGTTTGCGGACAGTATATAGACCAGGGTAGATAATTTTTAAAACCAAAAAAAAAATTACAATAGGATGAAACCCATTAGAAAAGGAGGGGAATATGATCAAAATGAAAGGAAAAATAAATTACGGTCGATCCGAGTTCGGGAAGTGGGAGGGGGTGAGCTTAGAAGGGTAAAAAATGGTTTATCTTGATTTCCGGCAAAACTACAAGTCCTATGGAAAAAAGTTAAATGGCAAAGTTGTAGGCAATAAAAAGATCTACAACTTTTGTAGATTTTTCAGATAACCTCAAAATTTAGGTAAAAAATTCAAAAAATCAAGTTTTTGGTTTTTTATTTATAACTTTTCCAAAAAAAATTTTTTTATACGAAATTTGGTGAAAATTTCGTTGTGATGGTGAAAAACGAAATCTGCGTAGAAAGGTAAATACTATCTGTATTTTAATCTATATTAATCAGCTTCAAAATAAAAATAGTAATATTTTCTTTTATAAATAGTATGTTTAACGTAACATAACCTAAAAAATTTAAATTGAATGATATTTCAGTACAAGAATAAAAAAATAGTAATTTGCAGATTCCAAACGATTCTTTCAATAAAGTAAATTTCTCACAAATCACTTAGAGTAACTTAGCCTGCACGTGTATTTTTAAAAACGATGTTGTACACTTCTCTGTCTCTCGAATACTGGCTAACGGTCTTTACAGCTGCTACGAAATAGCAGGTATGTAGTAAGGCCCAGACCCTCCTAGGTCCGTCCCCACTTCTCAATGAAATAACTTACAATGGCCTTAAATTCACCGAAGGTCACTCAGATATATAAAGAGGTTAGTTAGAGGTTAGTCACTCAGGTTACTGTAGACTAAAGTAGTTAAGATTATAATATGTGTTGTGTTTTAGATATATGTGTTATGCTTAATGCATTTTTTGTGTGTGTGTAACTAAAGGTAACATTATAAAATTAATAAAAGAAATTATATGCAATATACAATTTTTTATTTATTTATAAACCTCTCCTATTTAATCTTATACAAAATCCGCTAATAACTTTTTCACTCTCTGCTATTGTCTTTGTAGTATTGTATACGAGACAGTTTGTGTTGTCGTAGATGCTATCTTTATTATTCTTTACGTAATATTTAATCCTCGTGGTAGCGTGCTTCCAGTGATCACTAATTGGAATCTTGGATAGTTTCTTCAAATCATACATTTCAATTTTTATGAGATGCGTCGCTTGGTGTCCGTCATCAGAATTTGTAGAGGTGTATGATACGCCATCTCTAGCAGCTTGTGCCACAGTCGACGATAGCAGCTTCTTCCTTTTTGTTTTTGGTGCCACTTCAAAAAATTTATCAATCGGTTGCGATTTCCTTTTTCCACCATCGTTTGTGTTATTAACGACGATGTCATCTCTCTCTTCTTCGTGTTACGGAGAGAGTGGCGAGTAGTAATATTGTTTATAGGTATTTTTATTATCGTCTGCGAAGCTGAATGATCTCTGCAACAACAGAGTTATCACGTTAATATCAATTTGTTTACACTTAATCCAACACACACACACACACACACACACACGTTAGGAAAACAACAACAGAAATACAAGTAAGTTTGTCAATAGAATAAACACTTACCTCCATGACCATTGATGCGTTGAAACTAAGTAACACAAACGTAGTATTGGTAGACGTATACAATCCACTGCGATCAAACGACCATAGACTGACTGCATGACTGCAACTGTTCGATCTTATATAGCACAATTCTTATCTGATCTGCAAATTTCTAAGTAAAACGGAACTCTATGAGTCAACAAACTTATCTCGCGTCGCAACAGGCATGAACATCACTATGGGATTTACAAATCACTATAATTGAACATTCCTATGACAACCATTGAATAGATTGGTACTGTAATAAACTGTGTACTATAGGTACTGTAGTAAAATTTCGAAATAAATATGAATGTGTTTTATTGATGGCATAGAAAATCAAATAGATAAGAACTCCAAATCAACCACAATGAGGGTGATTGAGGGTGATTAGGTGAACAATGGAACGTTACATGATTTACATAACTCCAGAACCACGCATCCTACGCTAAAACTGACTGCAGAAATGTGATCAGAGCATGGCAAAACCTTTTTTATGATGGGTGCACCTGATTCGTGGTGTTCTGACCGGTCTGACGCGTGAGCCAGAGCCGGCGTATCCCCACTACTATTGTATTAATATTTATTTTTCTATTTTCAGTTTTACAGAATTACGCGAAACCGATTAACTGGAGAGATAACATTACGATGCTAGATGAAGACCATCCTGAAAATAATGGATTTCAGGTAAATCTCAAAATTATGCTTTATTTATTGTAAAGAAAAAAAAATTAACTACATTAGCCGCAAAAAACTGCTGAAATAGATACGGCCCTGCAAGGCTATTCAGTTTTTAACGATGCGACGCGTGGCGTGACGACCAAGACCACTTTGCCAGAAATGTAACGACTAAGAAGAAGGTGTAAAATGCACCGAGCTTGTAATGGAGATCGAATGTATTGGCTGTCGGCTGATTTGAAGTGTTTCACGCCACCCACTACTTGTACTATAGTGAATTGTAGTTAACCAGACCAATGTGTGTGTGTGTACTCAGTCAAATGATGGCTTCCTAAACTAAAAGAAATAAATATAAACTGGAAAAATTGCACTAAATTTTGCTGACTGTGTTATATCAATGTAGTTACGCCAGTGTTCTGGTTTTGGTAAATTTACAGAATGAGGCGTTCATTGCGTGGATGAAGACGGACTTGCATCGTAAACCGGTGATGCGTATTAACCATACGGGGTACTACGAACAAGGTCTGCCTCCGGCCAAATACGTGATACGAGTTAGATATGGTAAGTCTATTTGTGAGAAATTTAAATCATCAAATTGCTTCTACCGCCAGTGTGTTAAACTCGTACTAACTGGAAACTAACCCACTCGATCTCTTCCCCTGTGACGTACCCACCGTGCAAGTATGGCCTTGCCCGCGATTCGCAACGTTACCCCGTTTGGCGCTCTGATTGGCCTGCTTAAATGAACCAACCAATCAAAAGATTATACACGTTTTTTATATATTTGATGGGCCGACGTTTGACCTCTATCTCGCCTGGTGGTAAGCGATGATGCTGTCTACGATGGAGCACGTCGTCCCATAATAGTACGGGAGCTAGCAACGTTTGGAAAGTAAGAATTTTAGGTCAGCTGATTTTGTGATATGTCGTCCTTCTTGCACTTTCGGTTAGAGTCTGGGCTATCTGGCTGGCGGTAGCGGTTGCGTTCTTTAGTGCGCATCCTACCCGTCCAGGTAATAATCCTGGATTTTAAAAACATTTTAGAAGGCGCAATTTTTAATTTTTTGTTTTTAAATAAGTCTACCTGAAATACTTTTTTTATTGCCAGACATTTTTGGCAATACTAACTATGTGCCATACGCGATTTTTTGTTTCCTTTTATTAAAATTTCAAAGTATTTTATAATGTCTGTAATTTTATTATTATGTTATTTAAAGATAAAAAAAAAACTTAAAATAAATTTGCCAGACATTGTTAAGTCTTGAATTAAAATGAAAAAGTCATGAAAAGTATTGCAGTATAATATAATGCTAGTAGTCCGAGAGTCAGTTGCAGAATAAGTTGAGTAAATGACTTTTCATTGTGCATATAATAATAAATAATAATAATAATAAGATTCAAATATCGAACCAAATCCCCTCAATTAAATGAAACTCACTTGGCTCAGGCCCGTGATTTCATTAAATAACCGGTATTTTTATAATGCCGAGAAAAACTTAATTTCGAAGATAATAATAATCATTCTAGTCCGAGCAAGTTTGAAAAAAATTTAAGCATAAAAGGAATATAAAATTAGATTAAAATTTTAAAAACATCACTTTTTATTTAAATTGTTCTGATTACTAATTAAAAATTATAAAATAATAAATATTAAGTTTTTCAAGTTGTTTCAGCCTATAGTGACGTCACAAAAAAGAGGCATCTTCATAATCATTATCATCATCATCGTCGCTGTCTTTGTCAGTGTCATTCATATCATGTTCTTGGGAATTTTCGTTCATCATCTGCAACAGAAAAAAAATAAATAGTGTTATTCTTCTTGTTCGTTATAAAGCATTTTAGTTATTATTAACAAATATTCCATTTCACACTTACTTTGAACAATAATATCTGCAACTGAGGATGGAATTGATCTCCCAAAAACCAGACAAAATCATATTTGTCACCATTAATGGTCCAACCGAAAGCCATTGGAGATAAAGATGTTGGATGTTTTGAGTGAGCATTTCTCCAAATTTTCGTCACGTAACGAACCCTCAATAAATGCTGTTGCAATTCCGCTTTGCAGGGTGGCAAAATGGATGAGTCAAAGTTTCGAAATTTTTTGTCGAAGTTCTCATCTGATTTTTTTGACTTAAACGTACTTGAAAACAAATGAAATCGAACATCATTGACATTGGAACAATTTTTAACTCCATACATTTGACAAATAAATTTCTCCAGGGTTACAAACGTAGTTTAAAGTACTTCATCGTAATCAGTAATTATATTATCAAAAGCTAACTGGTATTCTTCAGAATTTTCTAATATTTTAAAAGGCTTAACTTTGCCTTTTCTAAATAAAGCTGGCGTGTTATCACATCCGGTTATTGCGTGGAAGCATGGTAAAGCTTTGCATAAAGAGTCACCAAGAATTCGGTGTCATTCATTGATGTTTATGTAACGCTGATGATTTCCAACACCCATATTTATCCAAATTTTCAAAGATGCTTTCAGATGATCCATATTTCCCAGAAGTATAATTAAAATATCAGAATCAGAACAGCATATAACAACGTCTGCGTCAAAATCGATTTGGCAAATATGAAAAATAATCCTAGAATCAGCTTCTTCGTGTTCTTCACACGATAATGATTCTATAATAGTTTCTTTCATCAGATGCAACAAAAAAAAACCATTAACAAGACAAACATCAAAAGTTGACGGTTGTCGGTCTATAGTGTTGTCCAATTTCTTCTCCATTAGTTTTGCTAATTGCGATTTGTCGGTTTTGCATATTGAACCATCTGGCATCTGGATGACACATTGACGTTGGCATCGGCGTAAGTGGAAATGCCAAAATTTTTTCAATGTCAACCTTGTGAGTGAGAGAAATTCCCAGCATTCTACCAAATAGATCTCTCTGCATTCGCAGCTCAAGTTTGCCCTGATTTGGCCTAAACCAAGTGAGTTTGACTTTTTCATTTTAATTCAAGACTTAACAATCGAATTAATGTCTGGCAAATTTATTTTAAGTTTTTTTTATCTTTAAATAACATAATATTAAAATTACAGACATTATAAAATACTTTGAAATTTTAAT